GAACCTGTATTAAGTGACTCTGTTTTCCTGCTAGAACTTGTTCACGTTCGTCTGTCCATGTTAAAGAAAAAACACCCACCTCATTCACGAATTGCCAATGCGCACAAGACTTTGCATGGTACTTTCATTGGCAGCGATTAAACAAAAATATGCAAAAATCTTGATCAAGTAATTACATTTTTTTCCTCTATTTGAGACCTGTATTAAAAGCTGTCCTGTGGGTGCAAAAACAGGATCACAACAATAAATGATAAATGGTTTACAGTAAAGTGTCTTACAGATTGCTCGCTTTGAGACAGCGACACCACCCTCCCCCCCACTTTTCGGTGTACGGTAAGTTTACAGATTTCACCCCGCGGCCATCTTGACATCTCCACGTGAGTCAAGAAAAGTACTCACCCCCGTCTGTTTTATTGGCGGGAGTAGGGCAAAATAGAACGCTGTTGATGAAGATAGGTAAGCTATTTATGGGTGGGTTTTTTTTTGGTGTGTGATGTAAATCCGAGCAAAGGAATGAATGGAAAATCATGATCGCCGATGTCTGTCGCAGATCTGGCACTGGATGATGATGATGATGTAAATCTCGTATTATTTTTTGACCCGCTTAAGGCTAACATAAAAAAGACGTATCGGAACCTTAGTGTGCAGTGATCTACAGTAATGGGCTTCTAGATTCTGTTGGTCCTTCAACTTTAAGACCCGCTCGCAAAGATGCGAAAAGTTTAGACAAACACAGCGATTAGTTTTGTCTTGTTTTAATCGCGGTCGGACCAAAGTGATCAAGCTATAGTATGTGAGGCAGCGTGGTGGAATCAGGCTCTCGTCAATTTTTGGGCATGTAGAGTTATTCGTATCATCTTAAAGCTTGTCCATTTGTCTTTATTTTGGATGAAAAAAAATATCCATTTATCTTGAATACAAGTCGAGATATTTGCAAATAAAGGAGGTGGGGGTCACCTGTTTTCAGAGGTAAAATTAGTGAGAAAATGGTCACCAAAGATTAGTTATTTCCTTAGATTAAGAGTCCGTGGTAACTGAAAATTTACATTTATTATGAATTTAATCAACCTTTTTCAGAAAAATCCAAACAGAAATGAATTCTTTAATGGGCATGAAAGGTGTTCAGATAAAACACGAAAATTTGATAAAAATTCACAAACCTGTGGAAAAATGCAAGTTTCTTCCCTTTGATTATTTTTGACGAGAGCCTGATTCCACCACGCTGCCTCACATATATCCTGACAGACAGAGTCAAAATATTTCCCCTCCCCGTCAGTGGTTTAGACGTGGTGCTAATCATAATTTGTACATAGTGTTTATAGCGCGGTCAAAAATTCGTGGCGCAACGTATTGTCAAATATCTCCTCAACTATCTAACATAAACTTTCCAGCTTTTGCACAGTGACTTGTATCAATTTGTCTTAACAGATCAATATTTTGGTGAACACCTGTTAGCTGTATTAGAGAAAATTCCTTAATAAATACTTATAACAAATCCCAGTGGGTGGTTTCTACAGATTTTAAAAGGTTTACAGCTGGGGCAGTATCGCTTTTAAAAGCAAGTCCATCATTTTCTTCTAATCGCTAGATTATGCTTATTGGACGCTTGTTTTGAGAGCTTTTAGTGCACTATAAAAGTAATTTCTTGTGCCTTTCAAAGTGTCATTGGTGAGCTGTGACGTAACCCATGTGAGTACGCAAAATGTGTGTGAGAAGCGAGAAGTGCTGTGAACAATTCCATTTTCCGCGTGAAGGAGATTTGTAGTATTTTATATAAATTCATAAAGAAAAGTTTTTAGATTTAGCCTCAATTGTTGTTGGGAAATGAGATTAGGTTGAGACAAATTGATGCACAGTGATGTGCAAAGTATGGGAGACATTGATTTACCCGTTGAAAAGATATTTGAGGACAAGTGGCGCCACGAATTTTTGACCGCAGAAATCCCCCCCCCCCCCCACAAAAAAACAACAACCAACAAACAACAACAAACAAAAAAACAACCAAAAAAAACCAAACAAACAAACATCGGCAATTACTCACAATCCTTTACAAACATTTGCAATAGGTCACAAAAACTTACGACAATTTACAAACAAGTGAAATACATTTCAAGCATTTACAATAATACTTTACAAAGACATGATAATTTGGCAGACTTGTACAATCCTATCAAAACCTTCCAAACCATTCACTGCCACCTTCGATCATTTCCTCACGTTCAGAAAATAAATGCCTTTTTATCTATTTATTTTTTAGTAAGTGTTTTACGGCTCTCACAACTGCATACGGTCAGATGAACGGACGGGACACATTAACGTTTGTCAGTTGGTAGGAAATTTCGACTTGTTTTGCCTGGGTGGCGGCCGAAGCCTACTCTTATCGATTTTGGACCACCAAGAGATCGTTAAAGTGCGCAACGTGCACACGGGCCCTCCGAGATTTTTCGCCCTTGTTCGAGAAGGCCAGGTGTGGATCTTTCCTACCAGATCAGGGGTGTGGTTGAAAGACGGCAGTACGAAGGAGCCAAGGAGTAGCAGTAGAAAGGCTGCAAAAAGAGTCAGGAGCCCAGAGGAGGGGGCAAAGGAGGTGAGGGGATGGGAGTCACCTTAAAGCACAAGCGGGCTATCCCGGAAACTGCTGTTTTGAGAAAGTAGAAGGTAAAGTTTTTGCCCCTTGTTCAGTTTCTTTAAAAGACAACGAGAGTTTTCTCTATAACCAAACAAATATACACACCAATGAAACCAAACTTCTCCTATAGGTAGGGCAATGCCCACTTTTGATGCAGGTCAAGATTTCTGGAAACCCCCGAAATCTATGTTAGCCCGCTTGTCCTTAAAAGCGACCAATAAATTCACAAGTACAAATCAAATCAAAAGTATATCATAAATCCTTGCCAATGAATCATGAACTCTTACCTTGAGGACAGGAGCACCGTGAAGGGGGACACAGGCGAGACAGGTGAGGAACACAAGGGTGAGCAGCATGCTGTCGGTAGATACGTGTGTGCGTGAGCGAGATGTACGTGCACACAGTGGGCCGCCCGTGAGTGAGTGAGCCGGTCAGTGGAAGGAAGGACAGGGGGAGAGGGGACACAATTGACACGTCCTTTTATACCGACACAATCATCGCCTCATGTTTCCTCCGGGGGGCTAGGCTGTTTTCTGTGGTCGAAAGCGCCCCCTCCTTGTTTATCTTTCTATTTTCACAGTTGTTCTTTTTTTTCCCTTTTCGTATCGTTTTCGTTTGTTGTTACGTCACTTTTGGGCCTATTTGCTCAGTGAAGTTCTTCACAGTACGCCTCTCATCCCAGGTCAGAAAATTAATATCAATGTTCCAAAGCTTGACAAAACTATACCAGGACTTTCGCTGCTTTTTGAACAGTTGATTCTACAAAAAAACATCCACTTTCATCAATTCAATGAGTTTCTATTTTTTGTTATCTCGAAGATCAACACAGGAGACTATCAACTATCGTGTTCATTTATTTTAATCAAAGAAATCTAATCAACGAGAGTAATCAAGCTTCCTAAATTTGCTCGCTAATATGCTGTTGAATTTTTTTTTCGTCTCCGGTTGATTAAACAGAGATTTGTTTGTCGACAGTTGCAAAGTTTGTCGACAGTTGCAACACGAGAATGTGCTGGTAGTGGGGTGTGGTGGGATGTGTGGGGAACTATCGGCCACGGGGTTTTATACTCTCCGCGGGGCAGGAGGGAGGGAGGGAGGGAGGGAGAGAGAGGGAGGGGGAGTCGTGTGGGTGATGGGTGATGACAGAGACGGACGAGGGGGGAGAAAGGGAGAGGAGGGGAGAGAGGAGGGTAGAGTGAGAATGAGGGACGAGGGAGAGAGAGAGGGGGAGATAGAGAGGAGAGGAGGGGAGAGAGGAGGGGAGAGAGGAGGGGAGAGGGAGGAGGGACGAGGGAGAGAGAGGGAGAGGGAGATAGAGAGAAGAGGGCAATAGAGAGGAGAGGGGAAGAGCAAGAAAAGGGGAGGGGGAGAAGGAGGTATAGAGACGGTTAAAGAGTGAGAGTGCGTGTGTGCGCGCGTGTGTGTTTGTGTATGTGTGAGAGTGAGAGGGAGAGAGAGAGGGGAAAAAAAAAAGAGAGAGAGAGAGAGAGAGAGAGAGAGAGAGAGAGAGAGAGAGAGAGAGA